AAAAATATATATATTTTTTATTCCTTGGATGGGCGAGGGTGAGGTTTGATTTGTGGCTCTTGAAAATTCGTTCTATTGTTGTCATTTCGCACATTTTGCATTCGATCGGAGCTTTGTACGCCAAATCCTGGAGGTTGCCATCCACCCCTTTCTTCTACAATTTTACTCCAAAGTAAAAGGCCGTGGGGAGGGGAGATCAGCGAGTGATAAACATCGCCAAAGAATTATTGCTTAGGTTTTTTTTTTTTTTGAAACTCGATTTTTTCGCGCTTTTCCCCACCTTTAGCATAATAAAACGGTTTAAACACACCTGTTCAACTAGGGGATTTATGTTACGGCCGTTTTGAGTGCACCTTTAACTGGTTTAATGGCTCGTGTTTAGACGTGAGCGCTTTACCGTTACCACTGTGTACGCGTTATCTAAGTAAAGCGGAGAGAGTATAACGGGAACGTATGACTGTAGCAGACAGAATAACATACAGTCACTGTATGTCTATAGTTTTTCACATGTAGGGAGGAAGTGTATATGTGTGTTTGTGTGTTAACAGAGTAATAATCGCGATGACGGTTTTAAAGTCTTAAAAAAAAAATGTTGGATTCTCTCAGGTTCCAAAGCTTTATCCGAGTAAAGTAAAAATAAAAAAGTAGATAAAAATCCGATCGTATCGCATTTTACACGTGTTATTCGCACTAAATGTTTTTTTACATGCCTTTAATATAGATGAACAAAAACAGAAAAAACTACTGTCACCGAATTGTACACTCGTGTTTTTCCTTAGTCACTATATGATTATAAACTAATGATACAATCGTAGATAATTTCAACATACATATGTACTTTGATTTAAGAAGCATATTATAATAGTTGTTAGTTATAATACTTAATCGTTTTAGTAATTTAATATAATTCAGTTTTAATTTTTTTTCGTTACAATTTATTCCTGAACTAATAAGATAAATAAACGCTTATTTCTTGTATTGTTATGATTTGAATTTTAAATTAAGTTAAAATCAAAGTGTTTGATAATATATATATATATATATATATATATATATATATATATATATATATATATATATATATATTGATATTTTACATTTTCATAGTATACGTGCATTTTATTATTAAGTCACATTTAAATAAATGATTTCATATTTTAGATTATTTTTAATTTTTTTTAAGCTTAACTTAATTAAAACGTTTCGTTAAAAAGTTGATAAATGATTTAAATAACTGTGAAATGGCGAAGAAATAAAAAGTTACATTTTAAAAAAGTCCTTGCCAAGTCTCAAACTATAGGCGGAAAGTTAAAAATTAAAAATAAACTACAAATTAAATACCTATTACGTTTTCGTTCTGACAACTTAATTTCCATTTGAAATGCATATAATCAATCATTCCTTGTATTCAAGATGTTTAGTGAAATTTATACAGATGAAATATAAGAAAATTGTTGTCCGTTGTGTACTATATATTTTTCTTTTTTGTAATATTCCATTCTTAAATATTCAAACAAGTTTTCCGTTGTAAAAATGTCATGTTTGAATCTATACTTACATATTTAGTTGCTTGTTTGTTATTGTATTCTATAACAACACTTCTGACTATTAATCTAGCCTGACGTGTATATTTATATTTTACTTAAAATTAATTGGATATTTATTTGTGTAACCTTTCTAAGAAATAAGTTGGTCATTATATCAGTTATAACTATTAATCAAATGTATTTTTCACGAGTAAAATAGTATCGTGATTTTCATTGCACAAAATAAACATCTATTAGATAAAACTGTTCTATCGAATTCAATACATCACATTTTTAAATGGACATTATTTAAACTATAAAACTATTGTGATAGTTTTTATTTTATTTTCGTATCCATCTATTATTGAATCTTTTTCATGCCAGTTAATTATTATCGTCCTTGAATCCTTATGGTTTTCTGACCTATAGAAATTGCTGTTAACTGTTGTACCACGAACAATATCATCATCCATCTTCAAAGTGTAAAATGCTAACGTTTTAGAGACAGTCGTCCATCAACACGGGTTCGTCCAGATCTATATTTAGAAATAAAAACTACGTAGAAATTATTGCCACGTCAATATTCTTGCACACGATTTGGTAGTTTAGTTTTTCTACGTTTTCCCTAATTAGATTTTTTACGACCAGTTTTCCTTCTGGTTGACTTGCCGTTTTCCCGGTTTTCTTATCATCGCGCGGTTATTTTCGGCAGTGTTGTGCGGTTTTTTATTTGAGAAAAAGTGAGAGTAGGGTAATGAAAAACTTGGCGGAAAGTATAATGAAATATATGCGCACACAATGATAAGTAGACACAACAGTCCGGAAGCGTGAAAAGTAATGGCGTCGTAGAAAAAATTATAGGTGGCAGGGGAGAAAAAAAAGTGTCTGAGGGGCGATGAAACGTTCAAAGGGAATCGAATGTCATCTACAGACTCCGCCGCCGAGGAGTGTGTTGACATCATGGTGCAAAATGAGTTTCAACTTTTAGTTGAACCTTGCAGTGGCGGTACTGTCGTTTTCGTTGTCATGATAACACGGTCGGTAATGGGCTCCATGGAACAATGTGCGTATATCATCGAGAATGTATTAGCCGTAAAATGCATTAAACTGCTCTGCGGAAATATACACGAAGACTTCAAACGGTGTAAAAGAAATTATCGTGCGTTTCCAATGCTGTATCTAATGCGCTTTGTATCGTCAGACGTTTTTCGCGCATGCGACTCGTACTTGACCGCGCATAGTGTTCTTCATTCGTTCGGTTTGTTAGTTATTATTTTTTTTCGAGATTTTTGTAAACAACGCACATTTGAACGGTTGGCATATCTAAACATCTATACGCCTCGGACTTCTATTTGAGTTTCATTTTGTTTATCGAGATTCGTTCCCTCGCGGCTAAACAAAAATGTACGCGCGAGCGTTTTAAGTATTTCGAGTTTTCAAACGTAACGTTTATTATTATTATTAATATTAAAACACGCACGAGGTGATAATTGATTAGAAAAAAACTCACTAGATTTTTATAAATATTAATTTATATTCGAAAGCGATTAAGTGGTCGTGTGTTTATTGAAAAATGTTTATCTATAACGACTACAACTAATGTCCTTCGTTTTTCTGGAATACTGCCATATTTACGTGATCACTGTGGTTAAGGCAAGTCTTTGCGATAGAGTTAAAACCTATGTGTTAACGTTTCTAAACACCATATTAATTTTAAATTAAATTCCAATATCTAAGATTATAATAATAATATTAAGTGCTTTTTCGAAATTGTATTACGCATTGAAATCGAACCGTAAAAAATAAGTAACGATATATTTTGATTACCACCAGATTTGTCTAAAATATTATATTTTAGTTGTACCGTTTGGTCACTGCGTTGAATTCATTGTTTTTTGAATTGAAATTAGAGCCACTGTCGTGTGTATACGAAGTATTTAATCGAACTGAATAAAAAATAAAAATATTAATAATAGCCCACAAACGATAATATGTACAGATAAATAATGTTACAAGGGTTATTAATTGCGTTATTGTATCTGTGTTCAAATGGTAGATTTAGGGTGAATATAGGGTTGTTAATTTGAAATGCTATTATGTTAAACTTACGGTACATCTACTATACAACGCATATGGGTAATTTAAAATTGTTTTTCGTACATAAAATCAAAATAAAATATACATTTACAAAACACGGTATGTACATCGTATTTTTAAAAAAAAAAAACTGTTATATTTCTTAAAAGAGTTGAACAACAATGTTCCACGGTGTGGTTTTATTTTTTCGTCATGTTCAATGAGGTTAACACGGACAAGTATTACCAAGTAACAATTGGCATCCAACGCATTGAGTTTTAGCGTTTACGACGGCGTACAAGGGTCGGATCATTTTGAGTAATCATCATTTGAATGAAAGGAAAGAATAATACGCGGCGTGGTGGGACAAAACTCGTGTAACGCAATGCCTAGAACGTAAAATAAAGAAAAATAATGATGTTTGTAAATAGAACGCCGCAGTAGACCATATAATTTACACAATTGAAACCCGAAAATTAGTCATGACCTTCCGACCCATACGATTATAATATCGTGTTGGTGTAGTACACCGACAGATTTCTCAATAAAAGCGTCGTTAAGTTTCTTATCGCGTGCTCGTGTGCATTTCGAGTCCCGGGGACAGAACCGAGCGCGGAAAAATATTTTATGACCGTTTCAATGCATTGTCCGTTAAAACCGAGTGTCGACCGTGATGTACAGGATTTTATAACTGTATTGTGCGTACGGGATATACGACCCGCCGCGCCGGTATGGGCATGTTCGGTTGGTTGCTGGTGCGGACGGCGGACGGTCAGAGTTTTCTCGGAAACGCATTTGTCACCGCCACCACCCGCCAAAAGCCGGACAAACATTTCTATAACACATATACGAATGCGTTTTCGAAAAAAAAAAAAGAAAGATAAGTCGAACGAACGTGTAAAAACATTTTCGGATTTTTCAGAGCGTTATATTAAATATTATTAAAACGTTTCGCGGACAATAGTGCTCCGTTGTTACTCGGTACGCGCGCGCCCCTCTCGCACGCACACATACCTAGAATAATAATAGTAATGACGGAAATAATAATAATAATAATGATACGTTCGCAGAAACCGACCTATGAGCGTGAGGAAATATTATATGTATTACATTGTGTGCGCGCGGGACGTGTGAGGTACAATGGCGGTTTTTTTATTATTATTTTTTCTTTTGCTCGTTTACGGAACGTGCCGCCGCCGTCGGTTTTCAAGTGTCCGTGCACGAACGCTGCCGAACGTTATCCCGTCGTCCGTCCATTGTTCGCGGGGACCGGTAGCGGCTGCGGGCCCGGTCCCCGCGATCACGTTTTCGTCGTCAGGCCCGTTCTTGTGCCGCCCCGTGCGCGCGTAAGATATTGTAATAATCACGGTCGTCACCGCAAGCGTTCCGTTTCGCCCATGAATATCGCATCAGTGTCTACGGACGTATTAAAACAATGTGATGGTACGTTCCAACCATCATAGCGGATTGCGCGTCGTACGTGCACTCGCCAGTGACGGCAACTTGTCGCCGTGATGGTTCTTTCCGCTAATATCACAATAATAATGGTCGATCGAATTCCAATGGGGAGAATCGCACGTGGCTGTACCTCTGCGTACAATTTTTTCGATGCGGATGTCTTGCGAATTCATTAATCTGTAATCGTATATATCAACGCTCGTAAGTTAACCGATAGAAATGTATTATTATTGTTTTTTTTCTATCGAAACGGTTGTGCAAATAACAAACACTTGTTCATTCGGCGTGTAAATATCGCAAATACCCTACGACAGTGCGGTCTTATTATCTGCAACCTTGGACTGTATCTTTATTCTCACAAGGAATAACATTTTCATCGACGGCGGCGGATGTTATCGCGGTCGCGTCGTCGTGCAGTGGGCGTGAGGGAGTTTTTAAAAATGAAATAGTTTTCATCTCTCCGTTACCATTGGTTTGAGCCTTGTACAGTCTTTATACACATGTGTATGTACGGTTGGGTGATTTTGTCATTTTCCACTGTTCCTGTCCGAAAATTCGCAAAAGGGAATCGTTAAAATAATAAAATTATTCTTTTTAACTTTGGATTAGAATTTATTAATGAAACGTCAAAACAAACATCGTATAATGCAATATATTCCGAGAATGTTTTTGTAATGTAACATTCCACCGACCCACCACTACCCTTATAATTGTTTCCCAGAAAATATACAAATATATGTTGATTATATTCGTCACACCACTGGTAGAACTACATTTCGTTGCAGGCTGTCAATAAATATATGTATATTTGTATATTATAATACAGTTGCAATGTCGTCAATTTTGTCCACACCGATGAACTACATGCTGCGGTCGTATAAAGAAGCAAGTCGTGTGTGTACCGTCAAAAAGGGGCGATTGCGTGAGCATACATACAAATAGTATATTTATAATAGTATACGTCGTGTGTGCCAAAAAAACGAAAAAGTCGCAAAAGAGTGAACCACCGTTTCCTCTAGTGTATAATATGTGTATTTATATAATCGTTTTCTTCGTGTCGTCGTTATACATATCACCCCATATCCATAGTATTGTTTACCGCAAATCTCGTCTCGAATGATTTCGCTGGATTTCGGTACGACGAACTAGTACAAAACTCGATGTCGCTCGTGAATCGTATTAGTGCGGTCGTCGACACGTACCGATCGGTTTTAACTTTTAACTAGACGACGTGACACAAGACGGTGGCGGCGTCGTTGCCGATAGTACCTATTAATGTATGACGGCGGCGTGTGTTGCTCGTGTAGTCCGCAGCGTCTCGTCAATTGTGTTTGAACATCGAGTGGAACTGCTGTAATGATGTCGGTGAACTCTTCGTGACGTTCTTGGTGTGAAATACGGCCAACACTATCGCCGTCAAATCGAATAGACCGCAGTTTCGTAACGTTGTGAGACGACGAGTGCGTTGCGCATAAAGGCAAATCGGACGTGTTCGTCGTTCCTTCGTTTCGAAAACCCCTGTGGGGAAACATCGAGGTCTGCGCGTGTACATGCATATTCCTTTCATTTGAAATTCATAAGAGTGTATATTCGGTGCCGTAGGAATGTACTTTTTTTTAATACTTTTTTCCACTTTGTCCAATTGATTCCCTTGGCAGTTTTTTTTTTTTTTATTTTCCTCGTATACTTATAATGCTATATCCAAAGTATATTCTTGGCTGCAGTAGTTATTTTTCAAAGGGTCGAAAAATGGGTGGTTCTGGGTTTATTTTTTATTACGAGTATACAGGCTAGTGATATAGTAAAACGTGGTTAGTATGGGCGTATTTATGGTAATATTACGGGCTTAAATACAATTTGTAAATACACCATTTGAAAGCGTATGCGTTCAGCTTCAAATAATCATTCTTGTTTTATTAAACGCCGTAAATTTAAGTCGTGGCGTTTCTCTGTTTCGTAAATACGTGTGTAAAATATGTGTATTTTATTAAATTAATTTTAAGAGTTTATAATATCTCAGTAAAATTATTTTCGTCAAAAGTATTCGAACGATTATATCATGTGCAAGAATAGCATATTTGAGGGATTGTGGAAACATATTGTAGCCGTTTCTCGTGTTAGACGATAATTGCTATCTGGTAGCTATGTAACTTATCTACATACGTGTTGTTAACGTAAATAAAGTAAAAAAATTATGCCGCATATGCAATGTTCAAATAAGCTAATTTTTTACCACCAACATTTTAAAGTAATCTTACGTAAATTGTATGTTGGATGTAACCGACGTTTGGCTTATGCGTACTTCGTCACTACATTGGTATTATAATAATAATACCATCATATTCGGTTACACATATTATTTTCACGATTATAATGACTCACTATAACCATATAATATGTGTAATCCATTTACGAAACCTTTCACTCGAATTGATCTAATATCATATGATTTTCATCTTTCGCAAATACACGGTAATATTATAATGTGTTTTCGGAAGTTGTTACGTGACGTGACACCGAAAACGGTTCGTCTTAATATCGATCTTCGGCTGATAACTAAACAAACGTTTCTAGTGTTTTTTTCTCCAATTTTATTCTCGTGATTCTATTATTATTCGGAAAAGAAGAAACAACACGCGGACCGTAATTGATGGAAATAAAAATCTGCGGACGGTGGTGTGCTGTGCGGTCCGGACAGTTCGAGACTACGTTCTCGGTTGGGATCCAGTTTCGTGGGAATCGCATTTCGGGTGTCGGTCACCTGCAAGCTGCTGGGTGGTGGGTGCGCGCGCGTGTTTCGAAATCCGTTAATCATTAATTATGACGTCGGGTGGAAACGAAAACCGTGGGCGGTATATTTTGTAAATGTTAATCGTACGTTTTTCCAGCCCACCGTGGAATTTTTTTTAAACTTGGTGCGACATCCGTGAGTCGGATTGTCTACGATTTTCGGGATCAATCGCCGTGAAATTTTTGTCCGGTGTGCGCGAGTAACGCATTATTAGCATCTATTACGACATACGGCGGCGGCGTGGAGAACACGAACCGAACAGAAATAATAATAAGTAATCGTAACAATAATAAAACGGATTCGCGAGTACCGTCCAAAACGTCGAAAACCGCGTGCACTGAAAATCGGTTGTTCGTATGGAATACGCAGTTATCGTCGAGTTTCCACCGATTTCATAGCGCCCCCGTACGCCGGCCGTCGTACCCTACACCGCCCGGTGCTCGTTATTGTGTGCAACCGCATGCACTGTGCACGGAAATTACGAGGTCGCCGCGTGGGAACGCACGAGACGGACACACGCGCGCGCATTATGACTGTTATTATCGTTATTTCGAACGACCGCCCGGCCGGTGTTGCGCGGCGGCGGCGTCGGCGGGCGGAAATGTACACTGGACGCAACACACGGTATTCGTGTCCGGCGGCGGCTGTGTTGATGCGATCGTAACGTCGTCATGCCAAGTGCCGTTTAATTGGCTGAATTGGTCGGACGCCATCCCGTGTCCAGCCGCCGAAAAGGTCCGGCCAGAAGTTCGTCAGCACGCGCACGTCGCGAACGTGAATCTCTCTGTGTCGGCGGGGGACATTTGTTTTTCGTCTGGACATTTTCGGTCGGGAAACTGTCTGACGGACGAACTCCGTTGTCCTGCGGTTGGTTTTGAACCGTTTTGATCACTCGCAACAATCTTTTTTGGTCTAGTCACGGATTTTATAAACGTACCGTTTAATAAATATTATTTTTCGCTGAGCAGTCGGTATAATTGTTATTACTATGATTTTCGGTTGCACTCGTAACGTGTTGTTACGTGTTATTATTCGCGTACATCTCTTACGGTCGTTACGAGTTTCTTCACCGAAAACAAATGTATTCCAATCGATTTTTACCAAATAACCGGGAGTTCGTCAAACAGATATTCCGACTGTATAAAACGTACTCGTATACAAGACTAAAACATTCACAACACTCATTCCGCATGAAATCGACTGCCGTGTGCGCGCGCCCGTGTGCACTACAACTCGACGTCCTTGATGCGCACGCGTATTCACGTGCACACGGGTATAACATTTTACTGGCATTTTGTTTTGTTTCATTGACGCGTTGTTATTTTTTTTGTTTTTAATTTTTTACTCGTATTCCTTTCGAAACGCGGAAAAACTGTTCGTTTTTTACTTACTCGCACTCCTGACCGTGGTGTGTTTATCGTAAAAAACACGCGTGTGTATACTTTGTAAATGTATACAACTATAAACGGATTGGTGCTGCGCACTTAAGCACCTCCGCAGAATCATAAGTCATAATGTACAAGTTTTTTATAGCACTGTTTCGAGTGTCGGTTTTCATATTTGTTTCAAATCCATATACATATGTTATGCCGATTAAAATCGAACTTCGTTTTTTTATCCTTATATACATATATTGATTCATCAAAATCCAGTTATACAGTTTTAGCGGGTGGGTTAGGTTCGACGCCCGCCTGCCCGTTATTTATTTTTTTTCGTACAAGGTGGAAGGGATCAGTCTCTACAGTAAAATATAATTACGACACGTCATAAAAATAAAATATGATTACCCTTATGGACATTATATCTTTTTTATCATATTCAACAGTACAGTGTTAACGACTGTGGTTAGATAGCTAAGATTAAATCATAATTAAAATGTTAGGTTGTTGTTTGTCATTTGATTATTATTATTTTTTTCGATGATTGCAGCTGTCAATACCAGACTGTAGGTTGTGATTCAAATGGTAAAATTGTAGATTTATAGTGGGAGTAGTTTTATAGTAACTATGCATTGTTAGTGTATTGAATACAATTCACAGAACCACATAATAGTCTTTTGATAAATTCATGTTATCTTTCCTGTTATAACTGACCTAAACGTAATTAAGATATTTTCAGTGCAACAATTAATGTTAAACCTAATTTAATTATTAGAATGTTTTAACGGGCAGTTGGTAGGTTATTTAATATTACGTAGAGGCGTGTTCGCTGTTGAGATGGTAAAATGTACAAGTAGTTTTTAGGTATAGCATTTCAAATAATTTATTGTAAAGAGGTTTATCGGGCGGTGCCCGAAATATTTTAGTTTTTTTGAATACATGAGATACTTATAAATACAAATAAATAAGTATCATATGTGTAAGCAATGCATATTCAGTTATTTACTATATTAGTATCGTTTTTAAGTTTA